CCCCCAGCGGGAGGTTTCTACCTCTTATATCTTGGGTGGGCCCCTCCTTGGGATACCCGCAGCCGCTGGCCCAGGCCAGGCCCTCCTCTCACAGCTCACCTGGACTACGGTCCCAGCCTCCTAACTGGACTCCCTGCCTTCAGCCTCTCCCAGAGCCAGCTCTTCCTCCACACTGCAGCCAGAGTGAGCTCTCTAAAACACAAACCTGAGCACGTCACTCCTCCACACAAGGGAAAGGCTCCTCGCTGCCCTTGGGACAGGTGGTAAGGCGTGCCTGAGAACAGGCCGGTCCCTCCACCTGGAGTGCCTTTTTCTATTTACCAAAAGTCCTGCTTTGTCCTCTGAGGCTGAGAAGTGGCCTCTGTCCTGCCCGACCCTCCAGCCTCACCGTCGCCGGATGTCCTCCCCACAGAGAGCTCTGGGGGGGGTCTCACCCTTTGCCCGTGGGCACAAACTGAGCACCTGCTCTGTGCCAGGTGATTTCCATTAACGGTCTCTGACCACTCCGAACACCCTCGTAGGGAGGGGAGGTCATGGGCCAGAGGAGGAATCTGAGACTTGCAAAGGGAGACTTTTAAGGCACAGGGCTCCTGGGACCCCAGTGGGCAGTGTGTCCCATCTGGCCCCAGGTCGGGGTGGCAGGAAGCGCTTATATGTGTCTTTACGGTGGTCCCTGGGATTGCTTTCACACCTTCAGCCCTCAGGCTGCTGTCCTTGGGGTGGCAGTGGCTTTTACCTCCTGGTCGGTGCCTCCAGGTACAAGAGTCTGCTGGGACCAGTGATAGACAGGAGGCCCAGCTCCATGAGGAAGCCTCCCTCCTCTGGCTGCCACCACTGGATCCCCACCCTCGTCCCCACAGCCCACACCTGCTTGGCCTTACTCAATGGCTGCCTCTGTGTGACCGAGAGCACTCCTGTTTACCCACAGCTTACCAGGGACCACGCACTGGGCTATGTGCTTTCTCTTAACTCATTTTATCCTACACTAACCCCACTGAACAGAGAAGAAAGTCGAGGCTCAGAGGGGCAAATGACTTGCTCAATGTCACAAGGTGGGTGCTTGGAGGACCTGGGACTCAAACCCACTCTGTCTGACTGAGGCCCAGGCTCCTAACTAACCTGTTCCTGTCTTTGTGCCTGTCTCTTGTCTCCTCAGACGAAGTCACCAGAAAGTTCAGTGACCCCCACCCCTTAACAGGACATCCTGGCTCTGGATACCCAGGCCTTCTGCAGCCCCACCTCACCCTGTCTTTCCTTCCGACGTCCTTCTCTCTTCTCACTCCTGCGTCAGCCCAAACAATATTCTCACCATGTCTCTCGTCTTCCTTCCACTCCTGCTCAGCCTGCAAATTTCCAAATCTCACTTTCCCTGGGCCCAAATATGACCTCTTCTTGGAGGCCTTCCCCGACTTATCCCTTCCTCCACCACAGCAACAGATCCCAGCCCCTCTCTCAACCAACCTTCTCGTGCTGGTGTGATCAGAACTTAGCTCTTCAGGACCCAGCACTTTAGAAAGCCTCAAACCGCCATGCCACACCCCTACCCATCCGCTCCAGGCTTCGCTGACCCCTGCTTTCTCCACCATCCTGCCCTACAGACAAGAAGCAAAATCCCTGCCAAGGAGATCAAAGGGCCAGCATTATCACGCATGATCTACCCATTTCTCAGGCTCAAGACCCAAGGTCACCGAAGGAGTAAGAGACACAGCTGAGATGTGAACTCCAAAACCCACACTCCTAATCGCCACAAAGCGACCTTTCAGTTTGCTCCTGGCTCCAGGGCCTTGTGTCTACAGTCTACCCACTTTGAAAGCTGTCCTGCCCAGTCTGAATTCCACTTGGATTCAGAGCTGGGAGGGCACTGTGTCCTCTGTGCCCCATCTCTCCTGGGGCTCAGTGCACAGGCCTCTTCTGTTCTCCATCCACGTTCTCACCCAATAATCGCGCCCGCCTCCACACTGATGACTTCAAAACGCGCACCCACGAGCCCCAGGCTCACGTTCCTCTGTTGTCTGGCTGGCATTTCCAGCCAACATCTTGATGCATCCACAACCAAACTCGTTTTCCCTCCCAAAGCTGCTCCTCCCAGATCTCCTGGTCCCAGAGAAAGGCTAGCCCACTTCTTCCCTGGCTCGGGACCCACACCCTGGACTCGCCCTTGCCTTTGCTCTCTCCCACAGCCCGTGCTGGTCTCCCCATGGCTCAATCTTTGAAATCGATCCAGCAGCCACTTCTCAGCGGCTCTACCCGCTTCCCCGCAGGAGCCTCCCTGGAGGTCTCCCCACATCCATCCTCACCCAGCCCCTCCCCAGTCCACTCTCCACACAGCAGCGAACCACGTAAACTGGAGCAGATTCCTCTCTGCCCGACCTTCTACCATGGCTCTCCGCTTTATCTGCAGCACAAGTAAAATCTTTACGATACCCGGAAAGCTCTCCACAATCCTGCCCCTTGGTTATTTCTCTGATCTACTCACTCCCCCACCTACCCCTCCTTTGCCTCCGACCACACCGACCTCCTTCCTGGTCCCTGAACAAGCCAAACACCCACCCTCCACGGGGCCTTCGCGCTGCCTGTTCTCCCTGGAACACTTTCCCAGAGAGCCGCATGGCTGGTTCTCCTTTCTTTTAAGCCTCTGACCGAATACCGTCCCAGACCAGACCCCCATAAGTACCAGCTCCTATCTACCCTGGAGTTTCCCATGCTCTTCACCTGGCTCCATGTCTTAGCACTGGCACCGATTTATCGGGTCCATTTTCCCCTGCTTTTGCTAGAACAGGGATTTCTTGTCTCTTTTGTTTACTACTGCATCTGCAGCACCTAAGACAGTACCTGGTACATAGTTGGTGCTCCAGAAACCCTTGTTCATCACTCATTCATTTACAGACGCAAAACTGGAGATCTAGAGGGTCAGAGAGACCTGCTCATGGTCATGTGGTTTTTAACTGGTGCAGCCTTGACTTGACTGTCCACAACTTTACCTGTCCCCTGGGACTGCCTGGCATCACAGAACAGCTATGAAAAACGAGACTGGCCTCCAGGAGTCTTCACTCTGAGTCCCACAAGGCTGGTCCTACCCCTCATTTTTCTCCTCACCAAGCCTATGGGCCAGCACTTCTCTCACCTGGCCCTGGGCGCCTGGCCCTGGGTTGGGCCCCCAGCAGCCCTAAATCAATCCCTGGAAGTTTTTGGACAGGCCCCAGCCCCTGTCTTGAGCCTCCCTCAGCTGGCTGTCCTGCTGCCATCCTGGCCCCTCCCTAACATTCCCCAATCAGGGTACCTTGAGTTTCCGGGGCAGGCGGGGCCGTTTCTCCCGCTTGGGCCTCAGGGGGCTGGGCTCGGGCAGCTGCAGGGCCAGGTAGTCGGAAGGGAATGGGGGGTAGGGGGGGGAAGCCAGCTGCAGGCAGGAGTCAGGGGGATGGAGATGGGAAATGGAGTGGATGGGGTGGGGGGTGAAGGGAAGAAACGCAAACAGGAGGAAGAATGGAAAAACAAGAGATGGTGATGAGTGTGGCTCCTGAGAACAGAAGGGGAGGGGACAGCAGCAGGACTTTGTCCTGAGCTCTGCTCTCCTCAGTCATGTCTGTCCCCCATTCCTACGCCAGAGAGAAGCGGGCAGCCCCGACTCACACCCCTCCAAGGAACGCTTGCTGGTCACACCCAGACAGACGCCCCCAGGGCTGGGCCGGCCTCACCCCTCATGAGGCCCATCTGCCCAAACGATGCCCACCTTCTTCCCAGGCATCTCACTTACACTTCCCACCCTTGACCCCAACTCACCGAGCTCAGGTATGGGGAGGGGGCCCCCGAGGCCTGAAGGGGAAACCCTGTTGAAGGAGGCAGGGAGAGGCTGGAGGGGGAGGGGACACCCCCCAGTGGAGGGCTTCTCTTCCTGGAGAAATGACAGGGGAGGGGGCTGGTCAGAAGCAGCTAGGAAGCCCAGGTACCCCCCCTACCCTCCACCCCCAGAGAAGAATGATGGCTTCTTCTCACCTCTTGGGGGCTGGCGTGTCCGACAACTTGGGTGTTCCCTCTGTCTCGCTGTTATCTGAAGATGCAGTGGCATCTGAGTCTGTGAGGGGGGAGGGCTGATCAGTGGGGCAGCGGGGGGAGGGGGGTTCCAGTCTACCTCAGAGAGGTGCAATCTCAACTCTATGGAAGGGGCCCAGGGAACCTGACTCCCCAGATGGCACATACATGCTATGCTGGGAGGCCCACAGCCTCTCAGCTTCCTGAAATGTCCTTGACAATGGACTTCCTGCCTGGACTCCATCATAACACATCTGTCAAGCACTTAACTGTGTGCCAGGCTCTGAAAGAGTGTTCTGGGTCACTGTTACTCCCTGTCTTCATAACCAACCAAGGAGGAAGTTGAGGGCATCACATCCATTTTCCATAGGAGGCCACTGTGGCTCAGAGAGCAAAGTGTAGAGCTGGGACTTGAACCCACATCTCTGACTCCTTGACCACTTTAGACCACTGGCCTTTATTAGGTCGGGCCACCATCAAAATCACCTCTAAGCAATCTCACCTCTCCCTCCACCCACTGAGTACTTCAATTCCAGAATGATCTAAAGGTAAAGTCAATCACGGCCTTCCTGGTGACGTTCCCCACTGCCTGCAAGCACTCGGAGTGCTTCTTAATCTGGTCTCAACCTACCTTTCTGGTCTCCCAACCAAACTGTACTATCCACATCATGCCCACCTATGTTCTCAAAAAGAAATTCATCTCTCGGTTCTGTACTTCACCTCGGAGGCCCACGGTTCATTTCCAAGTAACTGACAGGGGTACCTGTGTGGCTCAGTTGGTTAGGCGGACAACTTCAGCTTGGGTCATGATCTCACAGTCTGTGAGTTCAAGCCCCCACAATGGGCTCTGCGCTAACAGTGTGGAACCTGCTTGGGGTTCTCTCTCCGCCCCTCCCCACCTCTCACACGAAATAAACTTAAGAAACAAAAAAACCCGAGACCCGTGATCATATGCTGTTCCCAATTTCCCTGCTCAGAGAGATCCTTTAGGAAGCGGATTAAATGCTACCTCTCTGGGAAGAATCCTTCTGGAATCCTTCAGGCTCAGTTAATTGCGGGCTCTCCCACAACTCGCTACTCTCACTTGTCATGGTTTTCCTCACACTGTGCTAAGATGTGTCGTGTGTGGGTGTCTCCCTGACCAGACTGTGGGCTTTTCCCGGATAGGAGTGGTGGCTGACAGCTGTGGCTGTCACCCCTCAGATTCACTCCACTGTGACCGTGAACTTGCTGGTTTTCTCATAGCTCCTGTCCCGAAGTCCCCCCTCAAACAGCAAACTAACTGGAAAATCTCAGGAAAGGAGTAGATAGACAATGAGAAACAAGAATAAAAAGCCAAACGTTTTGCCTTGACCTACACGAGCTGGCTCCTGCTTGTTTCTGATCTCACGCATCATCCGCCATCCTATCATACATAAACAAATGGGCGTCGTGTGTTCCAATAAAACGTTACTTACAAAAGCAAACAGCCTCGTTGACTGTTGCTTGCCCACCCCTGCTCCAGACCAGTGTTTAAAGGCACCACGGGGAAGAGGTGACCGTATTTCAAATGAGTTACATGGACCGGACCCTGGAACGGGACCACAAACGCCCACCTTTGTACTTTTTCAAACTGTGGGTCTCAATCCATTAGTGGGGTCATCAAGTCAATTGACTGGTTTGCAACCAGCATTAAGTTTAAAAAAAGAAAGAAAGAAAGAAAGAAAGAAAGAAAGAAAGAAAGAAAGAAAGAAAGAAAGAAAGAAAAAAGTCTACACACCAACAGAACAAATTGTATACAATGATCTTAACATTGTTTTTTCATTAAATTGTTTTATAAGTAAGTATGCACGGGGGGACCTGGTCTGATGTAATGAGTCCCACGCTCAAAACAAAGTCTGGAAACACTACATGCTTCAGCCCTGCTGCTCTCCAGACAGCCTGGTCTGTTCTTCCCTCTGCCTTTGTCATTTCTTCCACCTGAAAATCTCTCCCTTCTATCTTTCCAAGATTGATTTCTGCTTCTTATCTCGGTCTCAGCTCAAATATTACTTCCTGAAAAAGGCTTTTCTTGAGCACTGTTGACGCTCCCTGTCACCTGCTTTTACACGGTCTGCAAACTAAGAATGGCTTTTACATTTTCAAATGGTTGGGGGCAGGGATAAAAAAAAATGCTATTTATGACATGTGAAAATTACATGAAATTCAAATTTCAGTGTCCATAAATACAGTTTTATTGAAACACATCCAAGCTCATTTATTTACAGATCACCTCTGGCTACTTTTGCACCACCACAGCAGAACTGGGTAGCTGCAACAGCTCTGCAAAACGTGAACTATTTATTACCTGGTCCTTTACAGAAAAAGCTTATCAACCCCTGCTCTGCTCCAATCACTACCATACAACCCTGATTTTATTCCTTTCACATCTGAGACCCTAGCTGCTTTGCTTTTCTATCACCCTCAACCAGAATGCGAATTCCACTGTATCCCCTGTGCAAAGCAATAAATGCTTGAGTGAAGGATAACCGATAGATTTAAGAACCACCGGAGGTTTTTTATCAGCCTCCGCAGCCTAAAAGGAGGGGCCCAGGAGGCTTGCTGAAGTGCCAGGAGCCATGTCCTCCAACAATTTTTCATGACCTTGCTCACCAGAAGAATCTTCATCCACGTTCTCGTACTGCAGAAGTCGGTCTAGGAGGAAACTAAGGGAAGAGGCGGGGAGAACAAGAGTGTTTGTTGCCATCTCAGTAACATTCTCCCGGAACCCTGTCCCGTCCAGCCGGCCCGTTGGATCCTTGCAACAGCCCCAAGGAAGGCGCCATGCATTTGTGGCCTAATTCCAAGGACAGGGTCCGAATGTAGATCCACAGGAGCCATATCACCCGCAGGCATTCCCCTTCCCCCCACTCCCCCACCCCCACCGTGTCCCACCTCTTATCCCGGGACACCTTCAGCAACTTCCTCTGCGCCTTCCTCAGTTCCTCCTGGAAGCACTCGTGTTCCTGTATCACAGGCAAGGTGGGGCGCTGAGCCAACGGCCACCCGTAAAGACGGCCGAGACTTGGGGACAGTTCACTCCACTCCCCTTTACACGTGGGTAAACTGAGGTCCTACAGACTCCAGGCCTCACCCCCCACAACCTCTCACGCCAGCACTCACGTAGATGAGGAACTTGAGCTTCCGCTTCAGGTTCCGGTACTTCTTCTTGTAGTCCACTTCGCCGTCCGCCGGCCCGTTCATGACCTGCCCCGGGAGCAGTGCCCCAGCAGTAGTCGGGCGTCCCGCTACCCGGAGCCTGCTCAGCCCGGCTTCTCACGCCTCCACTTCCGGAGACTCCGCAAGGCTGTGTCCGCTGGGACTACAACTCCCGGCGTACCCTGCGCCCAGGGATCTTAACCACAGGGGCTGCCCTCTTAGAGAACACCGGGAAAGGAACGTTGCTTCCAGGGACTACGCTGAAGATGGCGTCGCAGTGACGCGATGAGGTCATAAAGATGGCGGACGACGGAGGCACGTTTACTGATTCCAGATGTGCTTAGCAATCAGAAGCCGCAAGACTTGCCTCCAGGGATTCTTAGTTTTCAGGCGAGGATATCCTTTTCCATCTGTCTTTCGAAATCACAGTCGCCTAGCTAGGGCCTGTGACCACGAAAGGAGGCAGTGTCGCAGGTTGATTACGTTACACCCAAAGGTTGCGGGCGCCCAGTCGGTTTCTAACGAGAACTTGAAAAAACGATTGGTCCTAAGAAAAGGAGCCGCGAGACCCTCCAACTACCCGAGGAAAACAAGTTTTGTCTGGCAAAGTTCTCGGTCCAAGCGACCCGCCACCGACCCCCAACCGTCCCTCCCCTCACCGCGTCACGACCCTCCCGAGTGCGCAAGCTCCTGTCAAACGCGGTGACGGAGGCCGAGAAGAAAAAAAGGCGGGAGTCACCAATCCCAGGTGGAGCAAAATGGCGCGGGAGAACGAGATGCAGGAGTTCATCCGTAGCTTCTTCCGAGGCCGCCCGGACCTCAGGTGCACTAGAGACTGGAATTGGGGTTGGAAAGGGCAGGGGCGGGACGGGGACTCCGTCTTGACACATGTCTCCGCAGCACGCTCACGCACTCCATAGTGCGGCGGAGGTTCTTGGCTCACGCGGGCCGCGACCACCTGGAACCCGACGAGAAGCAAGCACTAAAGCGGCTGGTGGAGAAGGAGCTGCTGAAAGTGCAGGTGTGGGCGCGAGCCTGGGCCCTGGGAGGCGGGGTTTGTTGCTGAGGAGGAGGGGCCTGGGATGGCGTAGGGAACACAACCTTCCTACACGTTTTGACCTCTTGCGCCCACGCAGGTGGATGAAGCAGGTGCCAGGGAAGAGAGGCCAGATCTTGCCAAGAAGGCTAAGAGGCCTCCCACCCCCAGCAGTGGCCCTGGGAGAAAAAGGTTCCGTTTCGATTCGGAGTCAGGTTAGTGACTTTTGTATAGTTGGTTCATTCAAAAAGTATCGTGCATGCATTATATCCCGAAGCATTAGATGAGGGTACGAGGCCAGTGAGTCAGGAACCAGGAATAGGGTGGACCGATTGATAGCTGTGTTTTCTGTTGCCCTTCCCTCCGTCAGAGGTAACCAATCCCAAGTGGAGGGAGAAGGGACAGGAGGAACCCATCCCAACCTTCTTTTCTCTCCATATTCCAGAGCCCAGCTCTGCAGCCTCCAGTCCAGACTGTTTTGGCCTCTCAGCAAAGAATGGGATGGCAGCAGAAGTCAGTTCAGCAGAGGAGGAGAGTCCAAAGCGAGCCTCAAGGAAAGCAGTTGAGGAGAGCAGTGATGAGGAACAGCAGAGGGACCTGGCTGCAAAGACTGGATTAGAGAGGGAGGTGAAGGAGAGCAGTGGGGAGGAGGAAGAGGGCTCCGCCAGAACAAGTAAGGTCTCAAAGGAAGAGAGCAGTGAGGAAGATGAGGAAGGGGACGAGGAGGAGTCCAGAGGCAGGATTGGGAAGAAACCTGTGACAAAGAATAAGCAGGCACCGGGCAAAACCTCAGCCAGTAGGAAGCAGGCCAGGGAAGAGAGTGAAGACAGTGAGGAGGAACCTGCCCAGAGGACAAGAAAGAAGGTGGAGGGAAAGAAAGGTGCTGAAAGCCACCAGGAAAGTGCAAAGGACAGTGAGGAGGAAGACACCATAGCCAAGAAGAAAGAGAACAGAGAGAAAGAGGAAAAGGATTGGAAAGCTGGAGCCCGGGGCAGTGGAGGGAAAAAGTCAGCTTGGGAGGAGAGGAGCTGCGAGCAGAAAAGCAGGGCAGCCAGGCTACTAGGAGACTTGGGGGAAACAGAGGAAGAAGAGGAAAAAGCAGCAGCAGGCAGTGGGGATAACAGCGGGGGAGATGAAAAGCCCCTGGTGCAGAGAAAGAGCAAGGACAGGACCCCGCAGAAAGGTGGGAAAAGGCAGAGTGGAAGCAGCGAGGATGGGGAAGACAGTTGGAGAAAGGTGAAACCAACTGCTGAAGGTGCTGGAAAGACAGCCAAAGCGGGCGGTATCAGTGGTGAGGCGAGTGACTCAGAGAGGGAGGTGAGTGACAGTGAGGCAGAGGATAGCCTTAAGGGGGAGAGGGGGAACCGCTCTTCCAAGAAAAGCTCCAGGAAAGGCCGGGCACGAAGCTCCTCCTCCTCTTCCACAGATGGCAGTCCGCAGTCCAAAGGCAGGAAGGTGAGGGTGAAGATGGGCTGGGAGGCCACCTTTAGGGAAGACGGAGACCTCGTCTCAAACTCTGAAGGTTTGGCCTTCAGCTGCTGTTTTTCCTTGCCAGGCTGGCTCCGGTCGCCGTGGTGAGGACCACCCAGCCGTGATGAGGCTAAAGCGCTACATTCGGGCCTGTGGTGCCCATAGAAACTACAAGAAGCTTCTGGGCCCCTGCCGCTCACACAAGGAGCGCCTCAGTGTCCTCCGGGCAGAGCTGGATGCCCTGGGCATGAAGGGTGAGGCCGGGTGTGCCCTGGAGGCTGTGGGAGAGGGCGTTGGCTGCTGGGGAAGAGAGGATCATGAACCTCTTCTGCCCCAGGCAATCCTTCCTTAGAGAAGTGTCGGGCCCTGAAGGAGCAGCGGGAGGAGGCGGCTGAGGTAGCCTCCTTGGACATTACCAACATCATCAGTGGTTCAGGTGAGGGATTTCCTCCCACTCCCCAAGAGGTGGGGCTAGGATTTTCTCAGACAACTGATCTCCTGCTTTTCCTGCCCCCCAATCTAGGTCGGCCACGCAGACGCACGGCTTGGAACCCTTCAGGAGAAGCAGATCCTCCAGGGGAGCTATACCGCCGGACTTTGGGCTCAGAGGATGAACAGCCCCGCCCCCCACCCCCAGATTGGTCACATATGCGTGGCATCATCAGCAGTGATGGGGACAGTAACTGAGCTCCTCACCTTCCCCAGGAGGCTTTCCACTTGTAGAAAGCAGATATGCCGCCCACCAACCCCCCGCTCCAATCTGTGCCTGCAGAGCAGAAGCCGCTTTCTTCAGAGGACTTTCTTCAAGGACACAAATTGTTGGGATCCTACTTCTCAGCTTCACGTTCTCAGTTTAAGGTGTTTACAGGGATTATTTTTTAAGACTCAATAAAGGAGTTGTTTGAATCACTTGGTCAAAACTGGTCCCCACTTGGGGGGTGCCTGGCTTAGTTGGGAGGAGCAACTCTTGATCTCGGGGTCATTGAGTTCGAAGTGTAGAGATTACTTGAATAAGATTAAGTGACTAACTCTCGGTTTGGGCTGAGGTCATGATCTCATGATTCATGGGATTGAGCCCCATGTAGGGCTCTGTGCTGACAGAACAAAGCCTGCTTTAGATTCTTTCTCTCAAAATGAATAAATGTAAAAAATAGTGAAACAAAAAACCGGTCCCCTCTCTTACTCCTAGACCGTGGGCCAGGAAGGTGAGTAGCCATTGCCTCCCTACCCCACTCCATTCCCTTTCATTTCCCTCAGGTTCTCCAAAGGAAGTCCCAGCCTCCAGACCCTGCCATCCAATCTGCCACCAGGCTCTATCAGAGAAGAGGGTGGCTCCTACCCTTCTTCCTCCAGCCTGACCAGCAGGGCCCTCATTATCATCACGCTTTTAGCTATCATAACCTAATGCCTAGTTGGGAGGAAGGTCTGAGTAACTGGCCTTAAGAAGAATGTGAGGAACATAATGATAGAACTTGGGGACAGCTGGTGTATACGTCTTCCTTTTCCCCTTGGAAACAGCCATTTAGTCCCTGAGCCAATTCTTTTAGCCTTTAAGGGGTGGGTACAGGGCGTAGATCTGGTCAGGAGTACCCCAGGCCTCTGGCTACAGACTGAGCCAATGAAGTCACTTTAGGACTTTGCTGGCATTCTTGCTGTTGAGATTGCTATGAAGATACAGGCTTGGAGCTGCCAGGAGCCTGGTGTGAAGTGAACCTTTTGAAATCTTTGAAGTCAAAACAAAGGGAAGCAGAAGTCAGGAGATGGATGACCTCCTTTAAAGTTGTGGATCCAGTCCTACCCGAAGTCATTAAAATCACTGAAATTTTTAGTTACACATCCCAATAAATTCTCTTTTTAAATACAAATGACACTATCACCTCCCACGAACAGTCCTTAATACACACTTTAGACAGAAAGGGTGAGTCCCGGGGTCTGTTAGAATAACCAACAGTTTATTAAAAGCTTGCTGTGGGGCTCTGTGCCAACCCCATAGCTGGGAGGGGTTCCCACGACTGCCCCCAGGTCTGGAAGCAGCCCCTTCCAAGGTCCTTCCCTTGTTCCCCTGCCCCAGCTCTGATCTCAATAAAAAAAAAAAAAAAAAAAAAAAAAAAAAGAAAAAGAAAAAGAAAAAAGATAAAGGACAAAACGGCACAGGACGTCAGACAGCAACGGGGGAATGGAGAGACCAGGCATCCTGACCCCAAGACAACATCCTGATCCTTTCCTAGGAAGGCCTTTTCCTTCTGTTCTCCCCACCTAGACCTGCTCTGCCACACCTCAGGTCTGGGGGGCCTGGCATCCCCAGTCCATGGCCCCATTACAGGGGGTAGTATAGTTCTCTGAATATAATATATCTAGACCCACCCTTCCCCTCCCCCAGGGGACCAGATGAATATTTGACACGCACATCTCCCTCCTTTCCCAAGGCTGTGATGGAGAGAGACCCTGGCACCATGGTGGGGAGGCAAGGGCTCCTGGTCAGCCTTGAGGCACCGAGGCCCAAGCTGGCCCTGGGCCACTGGCCAGCCCAAGAAGCTCATGAGATGAGGAGGTCTAAGGGGAGCTGGAGCCAACATCCTGTCCCCCACCTGTGGGTGGACCTCAAGCTTACAGCCCTCCAGGAACCGGCTCCACCCACCCCTGCCCCTGCCCCATTCATCTGCTCATCCACCCTGCACTTCAGGAATAGAAGTGGGAGGAACCATTGAGGATGTGGGAAGCGACACTGGTGCTACGGCTCAGAGGCCCAGGCACTGCAGCAGCAGGTGGGCCCACGTTGTCGCTGCCACTGCCCCCTGAGGCTGCCCGCCGCAGGGGCTGAGGGCTGTTTCTTAGCAGCAGCAGGGCTCCACCACGAGGTGTCCCACTCTGTGTGGGGGGCCCCAGCCAGTTTGGGGGACCCGGAGGAGCCAGCAGAGAGGGCTGACGCCAGGCTGGGGGGGGCATGCCCGGTGGAGGAGGGCCATGGCTCCAGTGTGCCCCTGATCGGGGAACAGGACGGGAGGGCCAGGCAGGGGCAGGAGGTGGAGCAGGATAGCCCTGTGCAGCAGCCTCGGCTGGGATGCCCCCCAGAGCCATACTGGAGAAGCCCAGCCTCATGCTCTCAGCATCGAAAGCCTCGATCTCACGGGCCTGCCGCTCGAGCAAACTCCGGATTCGCTCGGAGCGCCCTGTCTGCAAGGCCAGCAGCTCCTCTTCCACCTGGGACACCCAGAAAAGAGGTTAGCGCATCCGGGGGCAGGAGGTGGGGAGCCTGCCCTCCCCAGCGCCTCTTGGTGCCGGAGCCCCCTTACCCGCTGCTCCAGCAGGGCCCGCCTCAGAGCCACCCTCTGCTCCAGCTCCCGCAGCTCCCGCTCATGCTGGCTCTCGGTGCGGATCTTGATCTTGCTCTGGTAGGCGTTTAGCAGCTCCAGCTCCTGCTGCAGCTGCTGCCGAAGGGCCTGGAATTCTGCCTCCTGGGTCTCATCAAGCCGTAGCTGGCAAACAGGGAGAACTAATTTTAGGGGCCTCCTCCCCCACCCCCGCAATCCTCCCCTGCCCCAGGTAGGCCTGGGCCCTAAGGTTTCAAGAAGCAGCCAGTCTCAACATCTATCAAAATGAAAGGTCGCCATACCCTGTGACACAGCAATTACACTTCCAGGAATTTATCCCCCAGGTATACTTGCACATGTGCTCGAAGGTGTTCACTGAAGCGTTGTGATAGCAAAATACTGGAAACAACCTAAATGTCCACCAATAAGGGATGGGTTAAATAAATTATGGTACGTCCATACCATGGAAAACCCTACACTGTTTAAAAAATGAGATAAGTGTACTGACATGGAAAAATGTCCAAGAAATACTAGGTGGAAAAAGAAGAGAGCAGTATGTACAACACAATCCTACTTTTGTTTATAATTTTGTGTAATCTTTCAAATATGCATAGGGAAAAAACCTAAAATACAATTATTAACAGTTAACTGAGATTGGGTCAGAGAATGGGATTGGGTGAGAGAATGGCAATGAATAGGGGCACTGTCACTTTTTACGCTATGGGTATTTTTTAATTGGCCCATTCCAGTGTTGTTGTGTGATCACTTTTGGAACAGCAATCTTCAAAATCCTCAGAAGTCTGGGTAAATTGGCCCAAGGGCCACGATCATTTTGATTTGCTCCCTGTTCACACATTAAACTAACTCAGGCCCAGGAAACAATTATAGCCACTCTTTCCTTGGTGGTTCTTGGTAGAGTAGTCAGGCTGGCTTTGTCAAGACCTTAAGAAAATACTCAAGAGAGATAAAAAAAAAACCATTGTGGAGAATACTAACAGTGGGAGAGTATCCAAGTTTCCCCCAAGAACAAAAGCCCCATCTTTCCCCGCACTCCCCCACTTCCAACTTCCCATAACCAAGGCGGGAGTACAAAGGCCAGCCTCCACCACGCTCCCTCCCTGGACCCCAGGCCTCACCGCCTGCGAGCTGAGCATCTCTGAGATGGACTGGTCATACTGCTCGGCTAGAATCGCCAGCTTGCGGGTCTGTTCTTCCTTGAGCCGCTTAAGGAGGCTCTTGTGCTGAGCTTTGGGTGTGGTCTCCAGCAAGTGTGCCCGCAGGGCCTTGTACTGCCGAGTCTGGATCTTACACGTCTCCTGGAACTGCTTCTTGATCTGCAGCTCCTTAGACTATGCAGTGGACGGACCAAGGGGAGATGGGGGCAAGGGAGAGGAGGAGGAGGAAGAGGAGGAGGAGGAGGAACAACCAGGGGAGAAGGGGAGAAGAGAGAGAGGAGGAGAGGAGACAGAAGCAGAGACAGGGAGAGGGAGAGAAACAGAAAACATGTTAGACAGAGGGGGCGGGGGGAGCTGTATACAGACAGACATGGAGAGATGGGATTGTGCTGAAGAGAGATCAGGAAGATTCTCAATGGGCAAGAGATACAAGTAAACAAGAGCATGTTCCAAGAGCATGTTCAGGGTTGGGTAGAAAACACAAGAAACAGCAGGAGAATTCGTGGACAGAGAACTGAGAATCTTTAGGGTACGGAGTACACACAAGAAGCTCTGACCATGCAAAGACAGAGGAAATACAACCCAGAGACAGAAACCAAGTGAGCAGATACAGAACGTGCACAAGAGTGAGAAAACCAAGTCACATAACACACCCATGGAAGAGAGCGACACAGCTAAGGAAAGACAGAGAAAGTCCCAGGTTCAACACCTTAGGGTGGGAGGGAGGGAAGGAGGATAAGCTCCGAGCTGAGAAATGGATAAGATGGGGTGGCCCCATCTAGGGCCACGTAAGGGAAAGGGGCAAAGGAGGTGGCCAGAAAGGGCCTGACAGGTTCAATGGGCCAGCAGCTGCTACCCTGACCAGATCTCCACATCCCAGCCCAGCCCCTTAGACACTCAGCTCCCACTCCAAGCCCACAACCAATCCCATTTCCATGCCCCCACTCTCTGCCTGGCCCCCCAAACTCACCACCCCCTACTGTAGTTTGCAGTCCCTTCCCCAAGCCCTCTAGGGTAAAGCCTAATTAATGCCAGGGGAGATATTCAGTTCCCAGAAGGGAACCACATAGGGAAGGGGCTGGGACAAAAGGCAGGTGATAAGGACAAAAGGCCCCGGAACCTAAGGACACTCTCTGGAAAAGAACCCACCAACAGGGGAGCTGTGGGGCCAAGAAGTTCTGTGGAAGCTCAACAGGGGCCCAGACCTCTGAGCTGGTGGTGGTCATGGTGCAACGAAGCTATGAAGGCAGAGAGGATGAGGCTGAGGAGTGAAAGGGGTTAAGATAACGTAGATGGGGGTGAAGAGGTCATGGAACTGGGGGCCAAGGGTCCAGACTGGGGGCATACCGGGGAGGCTAGGCGGCAGGACAAAGCAGACAGAGGCAGCCTGGGCCAAAGGTACAGTTCCGCTCAGATATTTTATTTGTGTTTGTCTTTTTCTTTTTTTGGTGGGGGAAAGGGGACAGGTTGGAAGGGAGACAGAAAAACAAAATCAAAGAGAGAAAAAAAAAACATGACTTCCCACCCACCGCCACCCCTGGCCCCAGGCCTGAGTTGATGAGGGTGAGGATGAGCACACACACAGTGGGAGAACAGCAATAACTTAGGGTGGGGAGGAGTGTCAGGAGAACACAAAGTGTAACTTCCGGACTCCTGGTGGAGGAGGCTGCCTGTCTAGAGGTCCAGAGGACTGGGCTGAGGTGGGGAAGTGTACTAAGGAGGGAGGGGTGAAAGGGAGGAGAGGACTGGAACTGGAGAAACCTCACTGAGTAATGGGAAATAAAGTGCTCGATGCTCTAAGATTCGGGCAGGGGAAGAGCTAGTCGGTTACCTCCAAGGAGGCAGGGCCCGGGACTGGCGGGGTCGGGATCGCCGCCCAATTAGAGTCCCGGGCGCTGATTGGCGAGAGGCAGAGGGCACTAGCCGGCGCTGGCTACGGGGCAGCAGCCGGGGGATACGGCTGGGCCTCTCACCTCGGAGCAGGCCCCAGCTGGCCAGTGTGTGGATAGCCCAAGGGGGCAAGTGGGAGGCTAAACCCTGGCTGGCCCGTGCCAGGCGCCAGTTCCAGCCCTTGCACAGGGTCCAAAACCTCGCCAACAGGGCTAGCGGGTGTCGGGCAGTGCGGGGATTACCCCGCCGGGGCCCAGGAACGGGCAGACGGCTGCGGAAGCCATCCTTGTTGGTCTTGGGGTAGAGTGCAAACAGGCCTCGGTCCCCCACAGCTCCACAGCCCTGTAGGGCACAAAAGGCCACAGGCGACAGGCGCAGCAGAGCCCGCAGCCAGAGTCGAGAGATGCCCCGGCGCATCCGGGGGCCCTGCTGCCGCACCCATTTGCCCCCAGCTGCCAGAGCTGCCAGAGGTAGAGCCAGGCCTGGCCAGGCTAGGAGCCAGGCAGCCCCAAGGCCCAGAGGGACACCCATAAGGCCACGGCGCCAGCTCAAACCCAGGACAGCCCCCAGTGCAGTGCCCTGGGCCAGGAGGAGGAACAGACTGGGGGGCAGGTGCAGAGCTGTACAAAGAAGTAGGTAGGAGGCCCCCAGGCCCACCAGCCCGACCTCAAGGGCCAGGAGCGCTGCCTGCAGGCCACCCCCACCCTGGGCTGCCAGCAGTGGGAGCAGCAGCAGAAGTAGCAGGGGCAGGAGGCCAGAGGAGGATCCCACTGCAAAGGAGAGGCCAGCCAGGAGGCCATGGGACAGGAGTCCAGGGAGCTGGCTAATAGGGCCATGCCTCAGACGTGTTGGAGGGGGTTCAGGGGGGATGTCTGGTGAGGGACAGCCATCTCCAGGATCCCTCGGGGTCCTAATTGGCGCCCCCTCTTCCTCTTCCTCATCTTCCTCGGGGACTGGGGTCAGCGCTGGGCCCGGGATCCAGCCAAGCTCAAATTCCTCATCCAGGAGGCTCCCGTCCTGCTTCTCCCATAACCTCCATTCCCCAGCTGCCTCCTGGCCCACAATGCTCCTCTCTTGGGGCGCCAGGGATGGGACCCTAAGCTCTTCTATCTCCTCCTCAGGCAGACCCCAACCTTCCTCATCAATCAAACTATGTTTTTGTGGGTTGGGACTAGGGGTTCCTGATTCTTCCCCCAATATCCTCTGTTCCTCTGGCTCCAGGGTAGCCCCTTCCTTTCCCAGAATCCTTCTCTCTGGAACTGCTTCCTCCTCCTCCTCCTCTCCCAGAATTCTTTGGTTCAGGACTGCCTCCTGGCCAGATGAGCAGGGCTGCTCTTCTCTAGGGGTGCCTGTGCTGGGTGGTCCCAGAGCCCCAGGAATGGGGAGCGGGAGGCCCGGGGGACGCTGGCCTGCACGTACTTTGAGGCTCTTGGGCTGCTGGCGAACCTGGGCTGCATGCTTCTGCCGCAACTCCTGCTCACGCCGCTTGTTGTACTCCAGCTGGTTGCCCAGCTCTGTCTGGTGCTGCAGGCGGGTGAGTTCGGCCCGTGTGCGCTGGACAGCCTGGAGCTGCCGTAGCTCCAGCTCTCGCGTGGCCTCATGCTGCCGCAGCAGCAACGCACACTCCAAGTCCTTCTGGGTCTGCTTCTTGTTCAAATCCTGAGGCAGAAGGGAGGCAGGGCCCAGAGCTCAGTCAGGAAGCCTTGTTGGTGTCAAGAGAGCCCCAGAACTCCCTGGCAGAGGGAGCTGAGCATGGGGAGCTGAGGGGTGTAAAGGAGCCAAGCTGCTGGCTGGCCTGGGAATGGAAGCCCAGGGAGCTCTAGCAGAGTGACAGGCACGAGGAAACAAGGGGTGTGGAAGAGAAGCCAAACCACAGCACGAAAGAGGGTAGAGGGAAAAATAGGTGCCTGTGCTGTGGGGAGGGGGATGGAGGGTGGGGTGGCCTACCTCCCGCAGCAGGTCCTGGTCCAGGCTGTGACGGGCCAGCAGCATCTTGCGCTTATACTGGCGACACTGAAGCTCAAAGTACTGACGCTGTCGCCGCAGCAGCCCCGCCTCCTCCTCTGCCTGGCACTGCTGGAGTTGCTCCTTCTGCCGCAGAAGCCACTCGGCCTTCTCCCGCTTGGGTGTGCTGGGGTTCTCCTGGAGCTCCTGGGCAAGGCCATGGGGAGGGCAGGGAGTCAGGGCACCTCACCCACCACAGGCCCTGTCCGTTGCTGCAGCCCCATCTCACCTCCTTTAGCTGCTCCTTCCGAAGTTTGTAGGTTCGCTTCTGTGCCTCCAGCAGGGCCGCTAGCTCTTTCTTCTGCTGCCCAAGGATGTGCTGCTGGAACTTTCGCTCCTCGGCCTGGGCGGCTCGTGCCTCCTTCTCACCAATGGCCTGGTGCCGCCGGGACAGTTTTTCTGCCTCAGCCCCAAAGCCGGCCCGCTGTGCCTCAAGCTCCCGCTGTAGCCGTGCGCTATGCTCCTCACGTTCACCCCTCAGCCGTGACTCCAAGGCCAGCAGCTGTTTCTGGTGCTGTCGTCGCATCCGCTTATAGCCACTCAGCTGCTCCCGCAGGGCTGAGTCCTGCTCATGCTCCTGGATCTGACGGCTGACCTGGGGCAGGACAGAGGATGAGAAGTGGGGCTCAGTCCTGGCCTCATCTCATTACTCACATGGTTTTCATGCTCTATTGGTGAACACGGATTTCAGACTCATGGGTTCGGTTCTCATTTGGTGCCTTCATCACACGTAGCCGCTCTGAGTCTGCCACCTCCACTGGATGATGGAGATACAGTCTATTTCACAAGCTGATATCACTGAATGAGTTGATAAAAGGTGCCGCACGCAGGGCCCGATGCAAAAGTGGCAACAATTCAGGTTAGTTCAAAGTCAAACATACCTGGGCCCAACCCCCAGCTTGGTCACTTACTAACCAGGTAACCTCAAGCAAGTTAATGACACTAGCCTCAGTTCCCTTATCTGCTAAATGGGACAATACCACCTCCTTATAGAAAGCTGTGGAGATTACGCCTGATACATGCATAATAGCGTCTAGAACACTCTGAACTAACAAACACTGTTTTTCTTCCCCTTCAGCAAACACTGAGGACTCATTACAGCCCAGGTATGCAGCTGGGATCTGGGCCCTGAGATGTTGGGAGTATCAAGAACACTGGGCCTGGATGTCCACATCTGAGGTTTGGAGCTCAGGTCCCATTGTCAAGTGGGCACAACTCCAACTAGTCCAGGTGGCCAAGTCCCTGGAAATCAGGGACCGGAAATCAGGTCCAGGAAACCCTGGACCTCTCTACACAGTACAATAAAGCACTAAGCATCACAGGATCTGAAGGGCTGTCCCATAAGAATATACTAGACCAATCACTGACCCATAACGGAATTAATGTTGGTGTTTGCAACTAAGCAAGAATGAAATCTAAAGGTTTACTCAAAGTATGGATGAAAGACTGTGTTTTATGAAAAGTCTACCCATCTTTTCCTGTGAACTGAGAAAAACATTACCATGACTTGATCTTAGGAAAACCAGTCTTGCTTAATTTGAGAATCTGAAAACCACCAAAGGTGTTTCGGCAAGTGCCTTGGACAAGCAGAACATCTGAGTCACCACTGCCTCATCTCTCAACTGGGATCATACCCTCTCTCTCCAGAGGAGCTGGAAGGATGAAATACTCAGGCATGTGTGTGAGCCTGAGAGCTAATCATGGTATGAGGCAGACACTGGCCACTATTCCTGCCTTCCAGGAGCATAAAATCCAGCACACCTATCATAATGTCATTTAGAAGCACCACAGCACAGGGATGTGATACACCTGGCTGGTCAAGGGCCTGGGAAGTCACCCCAGGACATGCTACTTAAGCCTAGCCATGAAAATGGAGGAAGAGTTTATCAAACTACGAATACCCATATCGGGCAATGTGACCAAAACAGTCCGTTGGGAGAAAAGAATGGAGAGGGTCAAGGAGAGGAGAAAGTGAAAGACGGCAACAAAAAGTGAGAGCGGAATCTGAACTTAATCCAGTGCCAGAGGGGAAAAACAAATCATCTCTGGACTTAAGAGTTTGGGGCATCCAGGCTGAGGGAGGATGGCTACACTTACCAGGGAGGCAGTACGGATGGTGGCAAAGTGATCCCTGTTGCGGCAGTAGGCCCGGCGGCGGGCAGAAGAGGTGGTAGAGGTGGGAGCTGGGGCTGCGGGTGGCTGGAGAGGACCTGGGGTCATCTCCGGCTGGTAGGGGTCATCATACAAGTTGTCAGAACCCTAGAGGAAGGGAAGGTGAAAGGGATGCCCAAGGTTCAGAGGCCACTGGGACCAAGAGGAGATCCCTGGAGACCCAGTCTGACTTAGAGGAGGAGCAATCACACTTGGGAGGGAGAGCTGGGGCTCGGCCTTGTCACCATCAGGCCTCCTGAGGGTGAGCTGCATACCGGCAGTCGGTGGATGATGGAACTATGGGAGGTAACTGTATGCTCCCCTTCTTGCATCATGGCCATCTCTCGGGCTTCAGGGCCTTCCTCTTCCTCCTCTTCCTCTTCCTCCTCCTCCTCTTCCTCCTCGTTGTCCGAGGCATCAGCTAGGCTATTGACTGAACTGCTCTGGCTGGAGGCGCTGATGGACATGCTTGGCACTGAGTGGCTACTCTCTAGACTGGTCAGCGTCCCAGCCCGGTGCATGTAGGGCTCGGCCTCCTGTGGACAGGGCGCAGGCTGTTGGGCAGGGAAGGGGAAGGATAAGGGGTATGTATATGGAGATAGCACAGGGAGACAGAGGGCAGGAGGAAGGAGAGGGAAGGTGAGCCAAGCAACTGCTAGGAGGCAAGCAAAACACAGTGGGGAAAAAAGGGTGGCAGGGTAAGCTGGGTCACCTCCTCCTCCTCTGGGGCTTCAGCACCAGGGCCATTGGGTGCTTCTTGGAACAGTATCTTCTTCATCTTTCGGTACTGCAAATTGTCCAGCTCCCGCACGGCATCCTTGGTCCTCTGGATCAGGTCCATGATGACTGTGGGTGGCCGCTCCCGGAGCACAAAGCGGTGCTGAGGGGAGAGAACACTGAGGCCTGCTGCAGAGCACCTACCCCCACCCCAAATATCCCATGGGCCCTGACACTCCCTCTGGCCTGAGGAACTTCCCTGGGGCCCATGCCCACCAGGAGCTGATGCTGGCCTTGTGCTAGGTAAGCCCTGCCCCCACATTTTCACCACCCAATCACCCCTCCCCAGACAGGCTCCTGTTCCTCCAAGCACAGCTGACAGACAAGAACAGTCAGGAGATCTGGATTCTAGTCCAGGTCCTCTATCAACATGCTGTGTGCCCCTGGACACGTCATGAGGCCTCTCTGGATTTCATAAGGTATCCCACAATTATAAAACAAGTAGGTCAAACTAGACTGTCTACATCAGTTCCCAACGAGGGCTCCTTAGGCCCCATGGATCTGTGAAGGGAATGGGGGCCCCTCTACTTTTGATATCTCAAAACACACCTAAGGGAAATCATACATTTACCCATGACAAGGCTACCCAGGCTTTTGGCTTGAATTACATCAGATCAGTGTGGTAACCCTGGTTATCGCACGCAGACCAGAAGCTCTGGCTGGCAATTATATACGTCTTTGATTAACAAGAGATGGGAAAACAAATTATTACTTAATAAATAAAGACAGTCTGGTAGACAAAATCTTGCAAAACACAGAGTCCATTGGGCACTGGGAATGAGGGTGGGAATTCATACATGAAGTTCTTGGTGGAGGAAGAGCTGGGAATCACTAATTTCACTGAAGGGTTTTGTGGTTCTAACAGGCAACGGTTCTAGGAGAATGCTAGGCCAGTGAGCCCTTACCTTCAGAAGAACCTCTGAGGTTGGTCTGTCTTGAGGGATTTTCTGAAGACAGGAGTCAACAAAATTCCGGAAGTACTCAGACCTAGAAGTCATGGGAGGATGAGGAAGGGGGGGAGGCCATAAGCCAGGTAGCCTTACCCTATGGCCTAACCCCTGGGCCCAGGAATCCCAGTCCTCACCAGTGTCCTGACTGGAGCACGGGGGACTCGTTCTGTGCAATGTGGTATAAGGCACTCATCGCATTCATGTTAAACAGCGGTGGTTTCCGTTCCGCTACAGAGAAAGGTGAACAGGGAGAAGGTGAGAGGTGGCAGATGGGCAGAGGAGTGGAATGGAAATCAGAGGATTGGGGTTCACACCCCAGCTCCCTGACTTCCTTGCTGTATGGCCCTGAGCAATTCTCATCATCTCAATTAATTTCCTCCATAAAATGTAACACCCATCCTCTCCCCTGTATACAATGGAATAGAGATCAAAGGCAGAAAGAAGCAGTTATCAGCCCAACTAACATTCTATTAGGTGCCAAGTAAGAGCAAAAAACTTGCTAAGTGTTAAGGGAAAGATAAGGAAAAACAAGAAACAGGCTCTGTCCTCAAGGAACCTCTAGCCTAACAGGAAAGATTAAGTAAAACTCAACAAGTACTATCAAGTTACCAGAGGCAGACAGAAAAATGGTTGGGAAGCTGGAAGTGCATGTGGGTTCTCAAGCTGGTAGGTGTGCAGGGGATTAAGGGCAGGTCTTTTGGAAAAAGGGATATTGGAGCTGGGCCTTAGATTAGAAGTTGCAAGCCAGGAGCTCCTCGAGGCCCAGACAAATGTTTTGTTATGTTTTTGGCCCAAATAGCAATTTTTAAATTACATTCCAACCTAGCAATTTAGTAATAATACCCTAAATGTCCGGTTTCTTCTAAAAACTTAGATGTGGTGAAAAGGAGCCGACACTTACGCATAACGATGGGCTAGAGCAAAGCAATAGCAGTCTCCAGTTTGCCGTAATCTTTTTCACATTACTTCTTTGATACGCACTATCTGCTTATAACCAGGACTGGTGGTTTCTTTTCAATAACAGAGAAATATTTCTCGGCGTCCACATCTCTACCAAAAAGTAGGAATAAAATGGACAGCTCTATATTTTTCTTCTACCTGGCTTGTTCCAATGTATTTGCATCACCTGCCCAGCTGTGGTCTCGAGTGACAAATGCACGTATGTGGACATGGAGGGAAAGGGCGTGTCCAAATCTCGGACTTCGGGAAGAAGACAAAATACAAACCAAGTTAAGAAAGTGGAAAAGTTCATGACACACTCAGGGTGTGGAGCTTACAAAGGTGAGAGCCAACTTTCAGAAAGCAGGGCTTTTAGCTTGGTGGAAGGAAGCGCAGGGATGGCATAGGTCTTGAAGGGAATGGGGAGCACTGATGGCTCTGAGGAGGGGAGCGAAGCAACAGCACCCGGCTAGGGCAGATCTCTCTGACATAAGAGAGACTGGAGGGAAGAAGAGACTGGAGGTAGGAAAGATCATGGCAGGAAGTTGTTGATAAGAGAGACTAACAGCATCTCTTTTCTTGGGCAACTGTCTGTGCCGGGCACTGTGTTGGAGGCTTTACAAACATTACCTCACTAATAGTTAATTTCAGTAGCATAGGCTGGCAGAGACGAGAACCCGGACAGGCTTCAAGGCCTCATGAACTCACGTGAGCCTTACTCTCTGGCCTCATCATTCACTGCTCTTTACATGGCATTACCTGCAATATTTCAAACAACTGAAGACAGTCTCAGCTCCGCATGCCTGCTCTTACCTATCTGGAATGCTCTTCCCTATAGTCTTTCAAACAGCTATTATCTACTTTATGGTTCTGCTTAGATATCTGCTGTAAGATATTCCTTAGCCCCTGAAATAGATCAAGTCTCTTGCTTTATGGTTGTACTGCTCCTGTAACCTCCATTCAGCTTCTGTCCCAGTAAGAGAAAACACATCTGTTTCCCTAACTGGAATGTAAGTTCCACAAGGCCAAGAACCTCATTCATTGCTATACCCCCAAAACCTGCTAGCATAGCGTGGTACAAAGCTAGCACTCAAAAAAAAAGTAAAACTAGAGTAGTGGACAGGAAAAGAATGCTCTGATATCCTTAGGTCTAAGAACTGGCAGGATTTGACAGCTGCCTGACTTGGGGGTCAAGGGTACAGTCAAAATGGACAGGAGCTTGGAGGCCTGAGGATGAAATGGTATGGGGATGGAAACAGACAGAGAAAGAGAAAGCAGTGGAGAGAAAAGAGGATGAAGAAACAGAGGATGTCGTCCTTACCCAGCTCGATGCAGGTTATCCCCAAGGACCAGACATCCACTTTGCCATCGTACTGCCCCTCATCCATTGCGAGGATCACCTCTGGAGCCATCCTGGGAGAATGGTCAGGACAAAGAGGCTTATCACCTGCCCAGACTCTGCCAACTATTGCTCCCAACATCCTAGGGGCTCCCTCCACTCACCACCATCCCACTCACCAGTACGGGGTGCCCACAAAGGAGTTGGCGGGTGCCATGATAGATGCAGAGCCGAAGTCCCCTAGCTTCACCAAGCCTGGCTCTGATAGCAAGATGTTTCCAGCCTTCACATCCCTGCCGGAGATGAAGCACAAGGATGAGGCATACATCTCAGGAAGGCTGGGCAAGGGGCTTTAGCACCAGGTTTCCAAGAAGGCTGCAGCCCAGCTGAATAAGTGGTGTAGAGCACACCCCCTCCCAGCCATTGTCAACGTTCCTTGTACCTATGGATCATGTTGTGGGAGTGCAGGTAAGCCAGGCCCTGAAGGGCCCCATGGGTGACAGCTGCAATCTCCACCTCCTGAAGGGGCTTCTTGTGCACTGGGGAGTGAGGGAAAAACATCAAACTGAGGGAGCCCAAGGGTGGGGCTGGAACAAGCTCCCCTGATCCCTTTCCCTACAGCTTCTTTGCTCTTCTCACTTCTCCCACTTGTTGGCCAAAGAGCCACTTACCTTCTAGAAGGTCAGAAGCTGAGCCCAGGCAATACTCCATCACCAGCTAAGAAAGGGTGAAGGGTCAGAGATAAGCACATCTGGTCACCCCTGGCCCACCTCTCTTGGGCAGAGATCCAAACAGAGAGCTTCTCTGCCTATCCTTCACTCAGGCATTACCTCCAGGGTGAAGACAAAGAGGAAGGACAACTGAGAAAACGTGGTGGTGGTGGTGGGAGAGTTCCTAGTCAGGGCCTCCCCTAGGAAGGGGAGACAAGATACCACAACTCCCATCTGAATCCTTTCAAAGCCCCATTATATCTCCATTTCCTCCAGCCCATATGCCCCTTTCCAACTACTAACAGTTTATGACTCTCTTCAAACGAGCCTCTCTTTCTGGAGACACTGTTGTCCATGGGTTTGCCTGAGGACTAAAGAGGTTGGGAGAGACTTCCTCCCTTCCAAGGTCCCATAATGGCACCTGGAACAGGGCCCACTAAGAGACTGGACCAGGACAAGGATGGGGGCAAAGATCAGGCCAGATTCAGTGGGCTAGCTCACCCAAGCCGTGTGCTCCCTCAGGTAACAGCCCCGGTACTGAATGGTATTGGGGTGCCGGAGCTTCTGCAGGAACCGCACCTCCTTGATGATGTCCTGCCACTTCTGAGAGGAGGTCAGGGAAGAAGAGGTTTACTCAGCCCGCACATTGAGCCTGGGGTCCCCTGCTCTGTCCCTTACCATTCTTGTCAAACCTGACCCACCTCATTTGACTGCTTCCCACTATAGGACATCTTCTTGATGGCCACCACCTCACTATTCCGGACATCTCGGGCCTAGAAGACCAGACCAGAAGCTGGTGAAAGCCCTTGGTGAGAACTGGGCAGCAGGAAGATTTTTTTGGCCCAAAAGGAGAGGGCGGGAAAGGCTGGTGTGGTATGGCAGCGCAGAAGGAGGCTTGGAGGTCCACAGGGGGAAGAATGCAGTGCCCATCCCTACCCCATTCTCCTAAGCCCCAACTTACAAAGTACACGGCTCCAAAGCTGCCATGGCCAATTTCCCGGAGATCAGAGAAGAGCTTTTCAGGGTCATCCTTGAAGAAGAGCTCAGCCACATCAGGGTCCTTCAGGCTCCCGGCCCGGCCCCCAGCTGGCATGATGGCCCCTGGGGGCCCTGAGAGTGGGGCCTGACCTGGAGAATGAAGAGGGGACCCTTACAGCGAAGATGAGACACTCAGAGAGGGGCAGGGACCCCTCAAATTTCTGCCTTCTCCTCCCCTAGTTCCCTGATGAGGGGGAGGCACCGCTGAGGAAGGGCAGGGGGGAGATTAGGAACAACATCAAACCTCCAAAAAAATGAAGTTGCCCTAGCAACCAGAGCACGGGGGCCGGGTCCCTGGAGTCCCTAAAACTGCTAGGAAGACTGAGAGCTAAGCATCCTCACCACCCCCCTCAGCCCTCAGTAAGATTCATTTCCCTACAACCCCCCTACTTCTCCCCTCAAGAATAAAAGATCCCACCTCCTAGCCAGAACCCCAGATTCCCAAGTGTCCTGTCCCACAAGTCCCATACCCCAAATATTTCCAGGCACCTTCCTGTTCCCCTTGGCGTCGAGGCCCCCTCCTCCCTCAACCTCTCACACCCTGGAAGAGAGCAGGAAACGGCCAGGCCGGAGGTAGTGGAAATCCGGCCATTGTTAGAAGTGGGTATTGGCCCAGAAGGGCCAGAAGACTTGCTCTCAAAAAGGGCTAGGGACATTGTGGCAGGGAGGATGGGAAGGACAGGGACAGAAATGGTGGCTGGCTTTGGGGACCTCTCTGTGGCCTGGGCTGTCTTACTTGACCAGTCCAATTGCATATGCATCACACACAGGTACAGGACATTTGTGGTGTACAAATAACATTTATTGAGCATGTACAGTAAGCACCTTACATGCATCTCTCTCATTCAACCCTTGCCACAACCTTGTGAGGTATTACTATTGGGGTACCCTTATCTTGCAATGAGGAAACAGGCTCAGAAAGGTTAAGTGACATCCAAAGCTGGTCCTCTACCACTGTTTTTAAAACAGTGCTATGAAACAAGCAGGGCAGGATAGGGATCACCATTTCACAGATGAGGTGACTGAGGCATAGAAAGGAAGGAGGACTTCTTCAAGGTCAGAGAAGAGGACCTTCTCTCCAATCAGGCCTGTGTGCTTATTACTCTCTTAGCCCCCCTCCTGCAGGAAGCCTCCCTTGACCACTTCAGCCTTTGGGGAGAGCTCCTAGAGCACCCAGCCAAACACCCAGAGAAAGAGCCTGCAGTACCTGGTAGCCAAGGACCCCGCCCCTTTTCCCCAGGGAATGCCAGGCCAAGCTCCTGGCTAAGCACTTGTTGGAATTTAGGCACAAAAGAGCCTTCAGCAGAGCTGGACTCCCAGGGCAGAGTTCTAGCTCCTTTAAAGCACCTAACAATTTAGCATGTAATTATATTCTGTCGGGCATTGTTTCCTGTTGTGTTGTTAATTTTGTCTCAGCCCAACTGGAAGCTGGAGGGCAAGAAGTAAGCCTGACTCTCCGGTGGGCCCCCAGGGTGCAGAGGGCTCAGAATAGCCTAGGAGATTGATTGATTGCCCTCAGCCAAGCCCTCAGCAGCTCCCAAGCTGCTCAGAATCGGCCCCTTTCTCCATTCTCCTGCCAGCAACCCTGCCAAGCACCCCTCACCCCCACCACACACCCACACACAAAGGCAGGTGCTCACAACTTGCCAAAGGAATCTTCTTGACCTCTTTACCAGCACCCAGCCCAGAATGTCAACCCAGGACCATAGGCCACATGTAAGGATGCCAACAAAATATCACACGGGGCCTCTTCCTCAAATAATGAACATTTGAGCAATTACCAAGGTCTGTGCTAAATCACAACCACCTTCTCAAGGGACAATGTTATCACCATTCTGCAGATGGGGAAACCCAAGTCTGTCTGTCCCTAAACTACACTAACAGTACATCTCATTGGCAACATACAGCAACAGGGTTTTGAGTAAGTTCCTTATGCTTGGTCTTCTCTTCAGTAAAACGGATTACAGCATAGGGCTGTTGTGAGATTTTTAATGAGATCTCATCCTTAAGAACACTATGCAGACACTCAGCATATGGATTTTTCCTTCCCTGCCTCCAGGGTCACCACAAAAATGACTTAAGACTTTGGGGATCATCCTACCCCAGCAGCTTGGCTTTAACTGCGAAGAGACACCACTATGGCTATCATTTGTCAAAAGACAGAACCCTCTCAGGAACCTAGACCAAAGACTGGAATCAGGGTAGAGATGAAGGTCACAGTAGGGAGAAAAATCCATGAGACAGAAGACAGGAGCCAGAGCTTCCCATCAGGGAAAGCTTCTGAGTACAGTCCTCCTAAAAAGGAAGCTCTTCTCCCCACCCCACCCCCCATTCTTCTATCTCACCCCAACTCATTCCCCTTTGGACCCCTGGCCAAGAAGAGACGGCAAGAGACAGGTATGGAGCAGGGGCAAAACTTCATCAAGAACCTGGGTTCAAATCCTGATTCTGCTACTGTGTGACCTTGAGCAACCTCTCTGAGCCTCAATATTCTCAACTGTAAAATGGGAAGACGGCAATAAAAGAGGCCCCCACAGGGTGAATGGGGGGGGGTGTCACATGAGAGAACAGATATAAAACACTTGTAAATGACAGACCGCTTGACAAATGTATCACCATCAGCAGGAGGTTGGAAGGTAACAGTACAGGTGGGGGAAAATATTGCCAGGCATCCCCAAACACAAATGCACACACACACTTCCTTCAAAGGACAAGAAATCCAACCAGATCATGCCTAAAAAAAAAAAAAGCTAAGTGGACCCATCATAGAGATCAGAGGCAAGGGAATCAACACCCCAGAGCAATCAGGAGAAAGAGGTATAATGGAGAACAGGTAGCTGTGAGGGACAAAGTGAACATGGGAGAAGAGCAAAAGAGTGCAAACCCATCTAATTAGCTCAAGCACCTTAGGGCGTGACCCCCATAACATCAAAGACCCTGTCACCTGAGGTCCCCCATGAAACAGATATTATGAAGGAAGAGGAACAAGGTGGCAGCAGAAGGCACGGCTAGCCAGAGGCTGACCACTGGCCCACTGGGCTTCATCCTGAGGAGAGGGCCTACCCAGGCCCAGTTCCTCAAAAAGGAGCACGCTTTCTTCTCAATGCTAGACACAGGGACCCGCGCCCCTGCACCCCGTCTCACCTGGTAGGGGTCACTATGGTGCCCCAGCGCTTCCGCCTCCTCCTGGGGTCCTCCAGCGGCTCTGCCAAGCAGGGAGAGGGGCAAGGAGACCTTTCCCCTTGCCACCTCTTCCTCGGCTTTCGCCCTTCCTGAGGGGCGGGCCCGGGAAGCCTCCCCTGGAGGGGAGGGGGTGACAACCTGATCTGACCTCGCGGTCCAGTCCTCCTCCTCCGCGAGGGCGGCAGTTGCTGAATCCCGGATTTCTGATTGTGGGGTCTGAACCCCAGATATTTGAACGAAGGGAGGCTGAATTTGATACCTGAACGCGTGGGGAATGAACCCCGGATACTGGTGCACGCAGGACCTGAACCCGATATTTGAAATCCTATGAAACGGAGCCCCAGGTTTAGAGAGGTTAGGACCCGAGTCCTGGATATGTGGGATCTGAGGGGCTGATACCCGGATATTTGAGAAGCGAGGAGTCAAGCCCGGAAATTCACGACGGAAGGGCCTGAGCCCCAGGTCTTCGGCCACCGACAGGGGGCCCACCCCGAGGACGTCCGGCCGCACGGCCCCTCTCACGCCGGGGTCCGAGGGTGACAGCCCTCACTCCCGCCCCGGTCTCCTCCCTTTCCCCCTTCCTCTCCTGAGGGCAGCTGAAAGATTGTAGCTAAGGGCGGTCCCCGCGCCTTCTCTCCCTCTCCTCTTCTCAGCCTCAGCCTCTCTCCGCACCACAGCCCCGGTCTCGTCCCGGTCTCCCTCTCTCTCTTCCTCCCAATTCCAAGATGGAGACCGGGCGGGAGCGCGCAGGCGCGGTAGGGACGCCGGGCCAAAGGGGGCGGAGCCCTAAGTGAATAGCCCCGCCCCTCTATCCTTACTGCCGCGGCCAGGGAGATGTGCAGCCACCAAGCCGGAGTGCGCGCGCGCTCCGCCACGCGGACCTTGGGATGGAAGGAGGCGGGGAGAAGGGCTAGGCTTGAAGGGGGAGGAGTTCAGCGCGCAGTCCGACAACTGGCGGTGGAGAGGGCTTCGGCGCATGCGTTCGCTCCCCCTAAGCGCAGAGCCCGAGCTTGTTGCTAGGGGAAGCTTTGAGGGGGCGCGAGTGGAAGGAAAGAAGAAGCCGTGATCTGCGCCTGCGTGTAGGGTAGCTGTTGGGAGGGGCAAGGGAGGGAGGCTTGCTGGGCTCGGAAAAGGCGGGAAAATGGACTGCTCTGGTTAGTAACCATACAGCCAGGACGTGGGCTCCTAAGTTCGAGGAATCTGCTAGGAAAACTCAGTCTGTCAAATCCCTTCGGGAAGCAGGCATCTCACAATTGCATGACCTGCCCAAGGTCACAAAGCCTTTATGTCAGAGCATTTCCATGACCATACCCACCTAATTCTATCAACTAGTGGGAACTATCGACCTTATTTCATACAAGAAAACAAGACATAAAGTGGCAGAGCTGCGATCAAAAGGTGTTTTCCAAAGGCAAAAGGATAGAGCTGCAGTAATCCACGCCCTTTGCCAGCCTCTATCCCAAACTGAAGATTCAACAAGGTAAAGTCCCCCAAACCTGTCTGCCCTGAAATTCCCACCTCCATCCAATCCCCAATAAACACCCTGGGCGACATTGGGCAAAAAAGCCTTTTATTTCCCCCCACTTTCCAGCTCTCCATTTTTTGTAACATCTCTTCGAACTCAGAACAAAGGCCAGAGGAGTTGATTCACACCTGGAGAAAAAGAAAATTAAAAACCAGGGCAGATCACAGGGCCCTTGGGGGAAGCTCTGGGATGGCTGCAAAGGAAGGAGCAGAGGCAATGGCAGCTAGAGATAGGTACAAGCACTTATCTTGACTGGGGTGGATAACTTCAGGACCCCAGGATCTGCTAGGAGCCAGAGAGGCTTCCTTTCCCAGTCCACTCAGATCTAAGAAAGGCTAAGAGAGTTCCACCATCTCCCATCCCAGGCAGATGGATAGGGCAGTGAAGTCTAGCCCTGAGCAAAATAAGCAAGGTTGATTTTCAGCAATCCAGTTCCTTTGGCCAGAGCCCCTCCCTGGGCTTGGGCAGTTGCCGCTTCTCCCAAGGTTATTTCCTAGGGCACAGCAGCCAGTTGTTGAAGCTGAGAATAGTTTAAGAGTTGGCTGCACAATAGGTAACTTGCATATTATGTGAGATCCATCTGACAGAGTGAGACTTTTTTACAGAAAAATTTTTTTTCTTTAATGAGCTGACACATGAAATGGTTAGCCAATATATCCCCCACCCACTGCTACCTTTGTGAGGTGTGTTCCTCCAAAGGTCCTGTTAGCAGAATCAACTTTTTCTAAATGCAGTGAAGGCTGATGGAAAAGAGGTGTATGTAAAATGCTTGGGCACAAAGTATGTGCCTAGTAAATGGGCATCACCGATCCTTTTGAGCTGTTCAATTTGAGTTTTACAAAAGCTGCATCATAAAAATGGGTATCACGATGTCAGGACAAAAGCAAGACAACCCTAATTCGCATCCAGGATGCATCATCAAATTTGAACCCTCCTGACTCCCACTGTTACCAAAAAACTTGGATGTGAACTACAGCTGTGCATGAAATCTTAAAAATCAGAATGTTAACTGAAAGCAGTCAGTCACAAAAGAATGCATGTGATTCCATCTACATAAAGTTCAAAAATAAAACCAAACCATATTATTAAGGAATGACTCTATCTCAGTTATAATTGCCACCCCTACTCCATCCCCTACTCCCACAGGACTGGGGCAAAGAACCTTACCTGAGAACAAGTTGGGAACTAGGCCAGCGCCCTCAGAGCCGGGTTCTAGACCAGTGGGATTCCCGGCGCGGGTGAAAGCACACAGCAGTGAGACAGCAGAGAAGGCCACAGAAGAGAAGCAGGAAGGAGCCCAAAACAAACAGTCTGGAGCCACACAGAGCCAGCTCCTCCTAGGGATGGGCACAGGAAGGGAAGGAGGCATGAATGAGAGAGGGAGGGTGGAGAATCTTCCCCTGGGAAGACATCTTATCCCCAGGCCAAGAACTACAGAGAGAAGCCCCCATGGGGGAGAGGGCTCTCTACATCCAGGAGAGAAGGAGAACCCAAAGAGAAAATGTAATTTCTGTATAAGCTAATTGTCTCGATGGTCTACAAACTGCTTTCTTGCCCAGCCATTTACGTGAAATCCCACAATGTCTCTAGGAGGTAGGAAAGTCCACTACTATCCACGTTTTAAATATGTTCAAGTAGGGCCAGGTCTGGAAACAAGTATTTTCTCTGGTTCTAAACTCCCAGGTGATGTTCCTCACCAGGGTCCTTGCAAGTGTGAGGAAAGAGTACACAGCAGCCTCCTAACTGGTCTCTCTCCTTCCACACAGCACCACTGGACCCCCTGGCCTACAGTGTCAAGTTGTAGCATTTTAGCCTGGCATCACGGTACCTCATAATCAGGCCTCTGCATCCCTTCTGTCTCTTCCCCTCAGTCATTCCTAAGCCCCTCAGCATGCAGTGCCCTCGAAGGCCGAGCACTTTTCAATCTCTAGGCCTGTGTTTGTGCCGGTCCTTTTGCCTGAAATGCGTTCCCCCTCTCCTGAACCCCCTCTATTGCATTCTCTATCCACATCTTCCTCCTCTTCAAGGGTCACCGTGAAAGGGCAGACAAAGCCTGGGACTACAGTCAGAAGGCAGAGGTTGCAATCCTGTGTCTGCCACTTAACCAGTTGTGTGGCCTTGGGCAATTCGCTCCCTCTAAGCCTGTTTCCTCATCTGTAAAATGGGATAATAACAGCTACCTCAAAAGGCTATTTTAAGATCAAATGAGATAATGAACTTGAAAGCACTTGGTACATTATAAACTACTGTACACAATTCCCTTTCTTAAATGCCACCTTCTCTGTGAAGCACTCTCCATAAATGTTCAAGTTAGGGTTAATTGCTCCTTACTCCATGTCTGAATAACACTTTGCTCACATCTCTATGATAGCAATTAGCCCATTCTGCCCCTTCTTACAGCTTCCAAATTCCTTTATTCTGTTTAAAGACAAATTAATAGCAATAGCTGTCGTTTATCCAAATCTCTGTTATGTACCAGGCATTGTCCTGAGCACTTGACATTAATTCTCATTCATCTTTATTTGTTGGAATCAGGAGATAATATTATGTTTTCCATTTTACAGATGATGTTTCCATTTTTACAACTCAGAGAGGCTCAGATGCTTGCTCAAGGTCACACCCCCTCTGAGGCAGAATTATAGAGCCCTATGCCTTTTTCTGTTAGGTAAAACTGCCTCCAGAAGCCTTCAAGACACAGCGTTCAGCACGGCAGTCTATGAAACCCCAACAACCTGAGGTTCTTACCGACGTGAGCAGCTTGGTGAGCACGAGGCCTTCGTGGCTCCAGACCCTGACACACTCCTCAGCCATCCTAGAATTCAAGGTGGCATTTCCTGCTCCCTCCTCTGAGCAGGATATGGGGGGCTGGCTGGCGGGCAGGATTCCTGGGGCAGCACTAAAATACAGGCAGGTTCCTGGGGTCCTCTCTGCGGTCACCCTGGCTGTAATGAGGACCAGCTCTGTTGCAGAGGATCCTATGAGAGACACAGGAGAGGGGTTGGAAGAAAATGGAGGGTGGGTTGGAAGCCATCCATCTTCAGACTTACATTCATTTCTAAGGTTTCCTACAGTACCGGGTGTTTTGGCATTGAGGCTATTCAATAAAGTACTCTATGTGCCATCATCATGTCATTGAGAAATGACAATAACTGTGTACCAATATAAACAAAAAATTAAGTTAGCTTACAATCAATAAAGTAATCATACCAGTACTCACAAAGTTGCAGTGAAACTGGGGCAGATACACATTGCCAATGTCAGTCTGTATAAACTAGTTTGTCCTTTTTAAGAAAGTAGCTTTCTACTAGGTACCAAAATCCATTGAAAGGTTCACACCCCATTTCAAATTAGCGGGAAAAGGATGGCCTATTTAGTCAGTGAATTTGGAACGATTTCCATTTGTGGAAAAAAAAAAGTTAGACTCATCTCACACTACAAAATAAAGTCCAGATGTGCTAAAGACCTATACTAACAAACTAAACAAAACAAAACCCAAAGAAAATACAGAAGAATATTTTCTAATTTTAAAGTGAGGAAGGCCTTCCTAAAAAAGACACAAGACCTAAAAGCCTGAGTAAAGAATGAGAGCAATAAACAACTCATAACAGTTAAAGACTTCTCTACAGTGAAAGAGAACTTAAAAAAAGTAACAGAATGGATGAAAATACCTATGTTTAACTGGCAAAAAGGTTTACTATACAGAATGTAAAAGGATCTTCTAAAAATCAAGAAGATAAAGGTAAACCATTTTTTTCTTTCTTTTCCCCCCACAAAACCGCAAGACAAATAAAAGTAAAATGGGCAAAGGATATGAACAGGAAATTCACGGAGGCACAAAAATGGCCAATAAACCAAAAGATGTTCAACCTCACTAATAATCGGGAGAAAGTAAATTAAAACAGTCAGGTAATTCCTTTGCTCATTAAATTGGTAAAAATTAAAAAGACTGATAATAATAAGAATTGCTGAAGATGTGGGGAAATGGGCAGTTTTAATGAGTGACACCTTTCAGAAAAATACAATTTGGCTGTTTCTGTCATAATTTCAAATGGGTACAGAGAGGGACTAGGAAGATGCCGATCAAACTGTGGACTGTGCAGGGGAGATGAGGAGGATTTTTTGTTTTGTTTTTCTGATAGAGAGAGAGTAGGGGGTGGGGGGGACACAAGGGAGGAACAGAGAGAGAGGGAGATGGAGAATATGAAGCAGGCTCCATGCTGACAGCATACAACCCGATGGGGGGCTCAAACCCACGATCTGTGAGATCATAACTTGAGCCGAAGTCAGTCACTTAACCAACTGAGCCATCAAGCACCCTGAGGCAAGGAAGATTTTTACACCTGCTTTGTATACTTCTATGTGCTCTAAATCCACAACAAAATGAATTTGTCCATTAAAAAAAGGTCCATACCCTTGGACTCAGTCATACCACTTGTAGAAACTAATCCTAAGGTAAGGATTCAAAAGAAAAATGCCACGTATACCAAGATGTGTATTGTGATTTCACAAAAAATGCCAAAAAATAAGAAACAGTAGAGATGTTTAACACTAGGAAAAGCATTACAAGTGATGGCCTAGCCACTTAATGGATCACCTTACATCCATTAAAATAATAAATAACATTCAGGCCGGGCAGTAAGAAAAAAGAATGATGTCATAAGGAGAAAAAAGAGAAATAGAAACCAGTACATATATCGTAATGAGAACTGAGAAATGTACATGTAAAATTTTCTAAGAGAATGCCCCTTTTTCAGTGTTTTCCAGATCAAATTAATTACCAAAGTCCTGTCAATCCCACACTGCCAATGTCTCTTAGATCAGTCCCGGTTTTTCACAGCATTGTTTTAGCTCAGTTTTTCTTATCATCTTCTTTTTTTTTTTCCCAAAGATTTTATTTAGGGGTGCCCGGGTGGCTCAGTCGGTTAAGCATCCGACTTTGGCTAGGTCATGATCTCACGGTTCATGAGTTTGAGCCCCGCATCAGGGTCTGTGCTGACAGCTCAGAGTCTGGAGCCTGCTTTGGATTTTGTGTCTCCCCCTCTCTCTGCTTCTCTCTCTCTCTCTCTCTCCCCAAAATAAATAAATGTTAAAAAAAAAAAAGATTTTATTTAATTTTTTTTAAGTAATCTCTACACCCATCATGGGGCTTGAACTCACAACCCCTAGATCAAGAGCCGCAGACTCCACCAATTGACCCAGCCAGGTGCCCCCTCTCATCATCTTTCTATTGCAACCACCTCCTAACTGGTCCTCCTCCATCTGGGCGCATTCCTACCAGACAATCAGCCAACAGACTGTGATCTTTTAAAAGAACAACAACAAAACCCTACTATTTTTCTGCCTAAAATTGTGAGTTTGCCCAACGTACTAAAGTTCAACTACCTGGGCTTGGCACACAAGACCTTCCATAGGATTCTGTCTGCTCTCTCCAGTCCATCTGTTGCCACTCACTCAACACTCCTTCCCCTGCACCAAAATGAACCCCTTGAAGTTCTCAAACATGCCATTACGGTCCCCATCTGCATACTTTTGTATGTGCTTGTCCCTCTGGCTGGAAGAGCAAAGCCCTAAACCTCCCTCAAGCCAGCTCAGGCACTGAATCCTTGGAAAAGCCTCTTTTCACTTGGCAGGCTCCTAACTATTCCCACTGTATCTTGTGAGCTACTACATACATTGAAAGGTATTTACTTTGGGGAGCCTGGGTGGCTCAGTGGGTTGAGCATCTGACTCTTGATATCAGCTCAGGTCGTGATCCCAGGGTGGTGGGATTGAGCCCCAACTTGGCTCAGCAGGGAATCTGCTTGAGATTCTTTCTCTCCCTCTGCCCCTCCCCCACTTGTGCACATGCTTTAGCTCTTTCTCAAATAAAAATTAAAAGGAAAGAAAAGAAAGAAAGGTATTTACTTCTGTTCATGTCTGTATCCTTGCTAGACTGTAAGCAGCTTGGAGTGAGGACCCGGGTCTTATACATCTCTATATTCCCCATGCTTGCTACATAATAGGTGCTCAATAATTATTACTTAGGTGATGCAATCATAGGTGGGTTATATTTTATTTTTGTCCAGAGTAATCTCTCATGATATTATTCTGGTTCTAACCATTATAAAAAGAACAAGGGCTTGTTTGCAAAAACAGAACTGGAGAAGTTGATCCTAAAATTCATATAGTAATTAAAGGAATCTGGAATAATGACAATTTTTAAAAAGAAGAACAAAGTTAAGGACTCACATTTTCTTTTTTTTTTTTTTAAGGTTTATTCATTTTTCAGAAACAGAGAGAGACAGAACTTGAGGCGGGGAGGGGCAGAGATAGAGGGAGGCACAGAATCTGAAGCAGGCTCCAGGCTCTGAGCTGTCAGCACAGAGCCCGACGCGGGGCTTGAACTCACAGACTGTGAGATCATGACCTGAGCCAAAGTTGGATGCTCAACTGACTGAGCCACCCAGGCACCCTGAAGACTCACATTTTCAGATTTCAAACTTAATACAAAGCTACAGTAATTAAAAGAGTGTGGTGCTAGCATAAGGATAGACATATGGATCAACGGAATAGAACTCAGAGTTCAGCAATAAATTCATATATACATCCATGCTCAGCTGGTTTTCAATAAGGGTGCCAAAATTATTCAGTAAGAAAGAATAGTCTCTTCAACAAAACATATTGGGACAACTGAATAGCCACTTGCAAACAATGAAGTTGGATCCCATCCTCACATCATTCACAAAAATTAACTCAAAAATGGATCATAGAGCTAAGTGTAAAGTCAAAACTACAAAATTTTAGTAGAAAATATACAAGTAAATCTTAGTGAGCTTGAGTTAGGCAAAGCCTGCTAAACCAACACACTAAAAGCACAAGCAACAAAAGAAAAAATTGATAAACTGGATTTCATCAAAATTAAAACCTTCGTGCTTCAAAGAACACCATCCACAAAATGAAAAGACAACCCAGAGAATGGGAGAAAATATTTGCAAATCATACCTCAGATAAGAGACTTGTATCCAGAAAATATAAAGAACTCTTATAGGGGCACCTGGGTGGCTCAGTCGGTTGAGCGTCTGACTTTGGCTCAGGTCACGATCTCACAGCTTGTGAGTTCGAGCCCCGCGTCGGGCTCTGTGCTGACAGCTCAGAGCCTGGAGCCTGCTTCGGATTCTGTGTCTCCCTCTCTCTCTGCCCCTAATCCACTTGCATTCTGTCTCTGTCTCTCTCAAAAATAAATAAACATTAAAAAAATTAAAAAAAACTCTTAGAAGTCAATAATTATAAGACAAATTATCCAATTATTTTTTCACAAGCAAACTCCAAATAAACATTTCTCCAAAGGAGATAGACAAATAAGTGCATGAAAAAAAGACGTTCAGTATCATTAACCGTGCCAATCAGAACCACAGCAAGATACTATTTCCCACTGCCTAGGATGGTTGGAATAAAAAAGACCGACAATAACAAATGTTGGTGAGGACGCGGAGAAATTGGAATTCTCATTCACTGCTGTAAAACAGCCTGGAAGCACCTCAAAAGATTTAATGGGAACACCTGGGTGGCTCAATCAGTTAAGTGTCTGACTCTCGATTTCAGCTTAGGTCATGATCACAGAGTCGTGAAATCAAGTCCTGTGTTGGCCTCCAAGCTGAGAGTGGAACCTGCCTGGGATTCTCTCTCTCCCTCTCTCTTTGCCCCTCCCTTGCTCATGCGCGCTCTCTCTCTCTCTAATAAAAATGAACGTTAAAAAAAAAAAAAAGATTAAACATAGAGTTACCGTATGATCCAGTAACTCCACTCCTTAGTATTTCATTTTCCTCAAGAGAAATGAAAATGTATGATCACACAAAATCTTGTATGAGAATGTTCATGGCGGCATTGTTCATAATAGTAAAAAAGTAGGAACAATCCAAATGTCAACGAACTGGCAAATGGATAAATGAAAGATGGACTATTCATACACTGAGCGCTATTCGGCAATAAAAACATGAAGCACTGGTAAGTGCTACGACATGGATGAACCTTGAAAACATGCTGGTTGAAAGAAGCAGTCACAAAAGACCACATATTGTATGAAATGTTCAGTACGCAAATCTACAGAAAAAGCAAGATTAGTAGTTGCCTGTGTCTGGGAGGTTAGGAGGAAAAGGGGAGTGACTGATAATGGGTTTAGGATTTCTTTTGGAGGCAATGAAAATGTTCTAAAATTGACAGTGGTGAGAGTTGCCCACTTTTGTGAGTATGTGAAAAGCCATTTAATTGTACATTTTAAATGTGTGAATTTTATGGTATGTGATCATATCTCAACAAAGCTCTCATATATATATATTTAGAAAATAAAAAGCACAGGAAAAATCACCCCAAGTCTGTATATATCAGACACCTGCCTTTATTCTCATCCTTTGATCACACATATGTATACCTGGACATAAGAGACCTCCCCCTGCGACACACTCAGCTACATATGTAATTCACAAGAGATGCTTAGAATGATAGTGTCGAAAAGGACCTCAGAAGCCAGACAGTTCCACCTTTCTCTCCTCCCTTTTCATCTCCCCAGTTTCAGACAAGGAACTTGAGGCCAAATCTCATGCAGGAATAAACTGACACACTCTCTCTCGCTCTCTCTCTTATCATTTTCCCAGATGACTCTAAGCTCTGTGGGAATGGAGATGCCTAATTTTTTTCTGTATCGTCCATAGCACATAGAGCTGTGGTAAGAACAAAAGAGAAACTTAGGACACTTGCTTAATTGAAGGAGGACATGCTTCTTGAATATCCCCGAGGAGAAAGAAGGTAGCCTCCAATAGGAGAAAGCGGTAGAGATCAAGAAGGATGAGAAAAAACATTAGGTCAAATCTACCCCATCTCATTACACCTCCAAGGATGGAACCAAAAAACCTCAGGGGCACCTGGATGGCTTTGTCTGATTTGATTTCAGCTTGGGTCATGATCCCAAGGTCATGGGATTGAGCCCCATGTCAGGCTCTGCACTCTCTGTGTCGGAGCCTACTTAGGAATTTCTCTCTCTCTCTCTCTCTCTTTCTCTCTCCCCCCTGCCCCCACCCTCACTCATATTCACTCTCTCAAAAACAAACAAACAAACAAACAAACAAACAAACAAACCCACCTCAGAGCCGGAAGAGGAGAAAGAAAACACTTGTTCACTGAAAGTATCTAGCCCTTACTACAGCAGAAGTGACTAAGGCCAAGGGATATGCCCAAGGTCACCAGGTTGGAGAGGTCAGAGACAGGGCCCACCCCTAAGTGTTCCGATGCCCAACCCCTATTCCTCCTTGATCTCACCTTTCAATCCAATATGACTACCCAGGACCTGGGTTTCGAATGTCTGGGTCTTGTTCCTGTCTGGACCATCTCCGAAGTTCAAGGTGGTCAGTAAGCCTACAACGTGAGATCCACGCGACTTCCGTGCGGCTGTCCCATTCACGGGGCACAGGGTCAGCTGGCCAAAAGATCTCAGGAAAGAGACCCAGTCCTGTGTGCAAAAGAAAGGTGAGAGGTGAGACATTAGCAGCATGAGCAGACCTGTATGGAAAGGATGAAGGTACTCACCTGAGGGATGTCAGGGCTGCGCAGGCCAGTCCTGTGGGTGAGGAGGAAGCTGCCAAGGCCCAGGCCTGAAAGGCCAAGAAGCAGCAGGATCAAAGTGGCACAGACCAGAGGTGGGTGGTGGGCGAGACAGAGATGCAGGTTGTGCCCTGCCTGGCAGCTGCCCATGGGGAGGAGAGGGGTCCGGGCCTCCACGGAGAGCCTGCTGGAGGACAGGAAGGAAGAACTGGACAAGAGCCTGAGAGTCAGAAGGCACTTACCCATTTTTATTCAAAGGGAAGCTAAAGCACTGAAAAGACAGGGGACTTGCTCAAGGATCCACGGCCAATAGTGGCAGAGCCAGGACAAGAACCCAAGGCTCTTGACTCCAAGTATTCATCCCCCTGCACCACTCAAAAAATGTCTGCTGTATTTCATTTCTGATGTGATCAATGCAGAAGCAAAGTAGAGCACACTGTGCTCGAAAACGGAACCCAAATGGAGAGTTCTCAAGGGGAGAAATTGAGGAAGCAGCTGTTCTGGGGTTAGGGTTTGGCTGAAGAACAATTCCAGCCAATAGCCTAGACAAAGGAAGTGTCTGATGAAAAGAACTCCACTTTGGAGCAAAAACGGTTCAGTCTGAAGCCTCCTCGGCCACTCACTGGCTATGTGAGAAAAATCTGTTAACCTTTGTGAGCTTAAGGATCTGTGAAGGGAAGGAGGGTGAAGAGTGGTTCTAAGAACACCAAATAATGAGGACTAAATGTGACAAATAAAGCAGTTTGCACAGTACTTGGGCCTTGCAGGGACGCAACAAATGTCCATTTTCTTTCTGTTTCTCTGTGTCATAATGATCTTTAAAACTAGGTGAAGCAAAGCAAAAAACACTGTGGTGGAAACTGAGGTTCGGGGACTTTAACAGAGGAGGGGCAGGGCCAAGGTCTGAAACCCGTTTTCTGCTTCCAGGTAGAGAGAGTGCCCTTTGCCAAGCAAGAAGCAACAGTCTTATGAAAAGGAACATCTGGAAGACGGGATAAACATATTGGGTGGGGGGAGAAGGAAGGCTCCAGGGAAATACAGGTGTCCCAAATGCCCAGCCCCTGCCCTGCCTCCCGTCCCGACACATCTGGAAAGAGGGAGGAAGCGCGAAGGGGGAGGGCAGAGCCTGAGGTCAGCGGCTGGTGGTGCCCCTGGGCCTCCCCTCCCCCCGCCCCAAGCCCCTCCTGCATGAACTCAACACCCGCAACATCCCTTTCCCGGTCTTGCGGCGTCGGTTCCGCCTGCCGCTAGCTCTCACCGCTCGGAGCCGGGCGGAGGCCGGCGCCCCCCGCGACGTCACGCGTGGAGCAGCGAAGGGGCGGGGTCCGTGCTCCCACTCACCCACCCCCACCCTCGCCGTGGGATTCGCATGCGCAGTGGCCACGCGGGCGGCCGCCCGGCCTCTCCTCGACTGGGCGGGGGCGTACCAAGAGGAAAGGCAAGGAAGGGGCAACGGAGAAGAAACAACCCCGCGGTAGCTGAGTGACAGGGAGAGAGGCAAAGGCGCTGACTCCAGGGACGTTGTTAGAATTGGAAAGCCTCACTCCGGAGACACTGTGGGGCATTTCAACGACAATCCGGTCGCGGGCATTTTTCTCTTGTTGGTCCCCCACCCGCGCCAGTCGCACAGCCCAGCCGCGCCCAGGTTCCGGGTAAGAATTTGGGGTCCGCCCGGGGGCGGGACTCCAATCCTAGGACTCTGGCCTTCTGGGCTGTTTGGGTTCGGCTCTTCTCTGCGGACGTAACGTCTACACTTCACGCTTGGACTGTGGTTTTAGCGACTCCTTAATGCGTAGGATAGCTGCAGGGCTGCTCAATAGAGACCGTCTTATTTCACTTCTGCCCAGATTTTAGAGATGAGAACACCTGAAATAGCGAGACGCATGGAGCCAAGAACCGTGGGTTCAAATCCTAACTTTGTGCCTGCCTCTGCATAAGCCATAACCGTGCTCTTTTGGGGAGCCGAGTTTGTTAAAGGGGTTCATCCTGGGGTGCCTGGTGGCTCAGTCTCCGACTTCATGATCGCACGGTTTGTGAGTTCGAGCCCCACATCGGGCTCTGTGCCGACAGCTCAGAGCCTGGAGCCTGCTTCAGATCCTGTGTCTACTTCTCTCTCTACCCCTCCCCTGCTCGTACTGGGTCTCTCTCTCTCTCTCTCTCTCTCAAAAATAAACATTAAAAAAAAAGGGGGTGGGGGTTCATCCTACCTACCTCACTGGT